AGGAGCCACAGAGTCAGGTTGGGGTGCTGGAGCTCAGGCCAGGGTCGGAGGCCCAGCCAAACAGGCTTCCATGCTCTGAGCCCCTGGGAGGCTTCCTCTGGGGGAGTTCTGCTGGTCACCCTCATTCAGCAGCTCGGCTGGTTAGTGCTGGGCACAGAGATGGACAAATTCTTCATTGCCCTAGAAGGGCCCCATTCCCCAGGAAAATAAGAGACTGGATAAGAGACTGGATAAGATCAACAAAACAGGGGTCAGGAAGCAGGAGAATGTAAATGGCATCTGTCCTGGCATTCCCAATATCTGCCATCATGGGCTGTCCCCCTGGATCTCTCCCCTTCTGTGGGTACTCATCATGGGGCAGGTGCTGTCTCCCCAAGTTCTCAAGGGAAACTGCTTGAGATTTGCAGGAGGAGTGGGTGGAGGCTGGAGTGTGCAGGGGAGAGATGGGAGGAGACGCCATCTGAGAGGAGAGAGGACTTGGGGTGGGAAAAGATGTTGACACTCATGGGGATATGACAGGAGAGCAGCCTATGACAGAAATGGGCGTCAAGTAAGGGAGGCATGGAGAGAAGAGAGATCCACTTAGAGAGACTGGGAGAGACAGGGCCTGAGAGAGACACACAACCCAGAGGGAAGGAAAGAGGGATAGAGGCAAAGAGGGGCTCCAAGGCCCTAGGGATCTTGAAGGACACCCATGCTTCAGAGAAGGGGATACCAAGGCCCACAGAGAGACACCCCCTTGCCTCCAGGCCACACAGGAGACCTAGCACAAGCAGAGTTGGATGAATCAGTCCAGTCCCAGTAATACAGCTTGAGTCTTGGGAGGGATTTGGCTATTGGATTTGATGCAATTGCCTTGTAGGCCACCAAGAAGGGCACTGTGAGGCTTCCTTCCACAGGTGGAGGGGTGGGTTCTAGGTTCCAGGCAGTGGAGAAAGCAATAGAAGGGTTTAAAGAGGTGGGAAAAGACATAGAGACTCATGAAGATGAGACAGGAGGGCAGCTTGTGACAGTGACGCTGACCGTCAAGGTGGGCATCAGTCTCTGCACAGGTAGCACCAGAAGGGCTAAGGCCAAGGTCTCTGGCTTTATATAATTCTAGGCACTAAGAGTCAGAAGTAATTTAGTCTAGATGCTTCCGTCACTCAAACAAGCGCAGAAATGCCAGTCTAGCCACAGTACTGGGTCCAGAGGAGCCCTGACTCAACAGACTCCCCTTTCTTGGTACCTGGGTTGAAAGACTAGTGCTCCCAGAGCGGCACTGTCTACGGTGCTGACTGGCCTATCTCCAACCACAGAGCTGCAGGTAGGAAGCCAGTGAAAGCAGGAAGGCTCCATCCATCCATCCATCCATCCATCCATCCGTCCGTATATCCATCCACACATCCTCAATAAATTAAACTATAAAACCATAGAACTATATGTTGTAGAGCTGGAAAGACCCATTTTTACTAATGAGGAAACTGAGACTCAGATGAGGAAAAGGGCCTGCTAAGGCCACAGAGTTTCTGTAGTCAGTCTGGGACAGGACTGGAAATTGTTGCTGTTTTCTATACACCACAAATTCTCCCCTGGGGTCTGGGAAATTGCCTGGTTGTTATGCTGATATTTATACTGGTGTTTGTTCCAAAGAAACAAAAAAAAAAAACCTGAGAAGGCAGGAAATGTGACCTCCTTCACTCCACTCTGAGCCTGGTCTCTGTGTGTGTGCGTGCGTATGTGTGCATTGTATATACGGCTGTGTTTTTATCTGTGTGTGTGCTTGTTTGTACAAGGCTGTGTGCATGCATGTTGGACAGAGGCGTGCGCATTCTCAGCTGCTCCATGGATTCTGTCCTCCCTTCAGAGACTCAGCAGCTCTGCTCTCTGAGCCCTTGCATGATGGGTTTTGGAATTTGAGCTATTTCCTTCCCTGAGTGGATGCAGTAGAGGTGAAGTTGCTTGGAGACCTGGGGGGGATTCAGGGAGAAGGTGTCATTTGAAGAAGGCTTGAAGTCCCCTTTATGAGTCAGGTATGAGAGTAGTTTTCCCAACACCCCCATCTCTGGGTCAGGCTGGGTGGGACTGGGCCAGGAGGTAGATGGACACTTTGAAGGATGCCAGGCAGGGAGCCATCGTCCATGTCTGCTTCCTGCCCACTCTGGCCAGGGACACTGGCCAAGGATGTGAAGCCCCTTTCTGTCACTGCCCCAACTCTCCCCAAGTTTCCTTTTCTGTGCCCCCATCACCACCATTATCCTGCACTTAATCTTAAAAGTCATAGAAGGCTGACCAATCTGAACAAAGGCCAGACAGGCACCCACCAATTCCAGTAAAGGACAGGTCAAGGCATCCCCCAATCCAAGTAAAGGGCAGGTAGAGTTGCCCACCAATTGGAACAAAGGACAGACTATTCTCTCTAAGCCCCCTGGGGAGGGAGCTGGGAGTCGGGTGCAGAGCAGGAGCCAGATTGGGGCTGGACAGGCAGAGACTTGGGCTGTGGACCTGGCTCTGCCTGATGGGCTGGCTGACCATGAATGGGACATTGCTTCTCTCTGAGTCTTGGTTTCCTTATCTGTCAAATGGGAAGACTTAGCTGTCCCAAGACTGTGGCTTTGAAAAATTCTTCCTCCACAGCAGAGCTTGGCCCCTCTTCTCCAACTTCCATGGCATAAACTTAATCAAACTGCACTGGAGGTCAAGGCCCCTCGGGGCTCAGCTCATCTACCCTCCACCCCCCAACACTCCCACCTCCAGGCAGGAACAGACCTAAACCAGCACCACCTTCTGGGGTCCTGCCCTCGGAGCCTCAGCCCTTAGATCCTGGGTGTCAGACTTAATTTGGGGATTATTTGGGACATGAGCCCTTTCTCCCTTCTTTAGTCTACAGAACTGACCTTGAGAGGCCATGCTAGCCTACGTGTATATTGCATGTGCAGCCCTGGCCCTGTGAATACATAAGGAAGTAGCTGCACCTATGTGCGTGCCTGGAGCCTGTCTGAAGGCATGCTGGGTGTTTCTGCAGAGGTGCGGAAAGTCTGTGACTGTGTGGCCGGGTAGAGGTGGTGCTGAGGGTGTGTGAGCTGGGGTGAGAAGTGCCTAAGGGTTAAAGGACAATCAATCCAACTTGGGGATCATAATGTTTGGAATCAGCAGCTTCTGATGTCCAAGGACAGAAACAGATCTCAGTGACCAGGATGTGTCTTCATCCTTGAGCAGTGGAAGGGAGTGGAAGCAGAGGGAGGCTGGGGTTTAGGAGAGCAATGCCAAGTGAACATTCAGGGAGAAAGTCCACTGCTGCTGCCCATTCCTGGGAACACAGGACTGGGTGGCCATGGGGTTGAGGGAGAAAACCAAAGCCAAGAACATGCAAGGGTGAAACCTGTAGCTGATGCCTGGACCTCAGTGCAGGACTCCCCTCTGTGGTTTCTCTGAAAAATGGGCACTTAGTCCATTCTTTCACACCCTTAAGGATAGGCAACTCACTTCCTCCCTCTCTCCTGGTGGCCAAGGCCTATATAGCATGGCTCTGCCTAGAAAAGTTCCTTCAAAGGTGCCTGGGTGGCTCAGTCAGTTAAGCAGCCGACTTCAGCTCAGGTCATGATCTCATAGTTCGTGAGTTTGAGCCCCACATCAGACTCTGTGCTGACAGCTCAGAGCCTGAAACCTGCTTCAGATTCTGTGTCTCCCTCTCTTTCTGCCCCTCCCCTGCTCACGCTCTGCCTCTCTGTCTCTCAAAAATAAATAAATATTAAAAAAAATTTTTTTAAGAACAAAAAAAAGGTCCTTTTTTTAAGAACAAAAAAAAAGGTCCTTCATCCCACTGGACCAAGGCCAGCCTCCTTTATACCTGTGGGTCTCCAGGCTGTCCCTGGGGCCACGGAGTCCAGTACCCCTGCTCAGGAGAGCCCGACAGAGTGGAGTCAAAGATTGTGACCCATGGGTCCACTCTTCTGTAGGCTGGGCACCCCCAGGTTCTCCAGTCTCAGTCACGTGAAAGACTTGGTTTCTAGTTCCCTCCTTACATGGGTCACCTGTGAATGAGTCTCCTCTTGTCCTCACTTGGGACACAATGCTCTGGCATGATCTAATCAGACAGTAGAGGTGGGGGAACTGTCATCTTCCCTATTTAGGTCAACAAATCTTTTTTAACATGGCCTGCGGTGTCCGCATTTTAATTTATTACCAGCCACACATATACTATGGGCTCATGCTGACCTTGTATTTCACTAAGACCCTCAACCTCATAACATTTTTATATGAGTGGGGACCAACCCATGTTGCCTTCCTCCTACAGTTAACCATTTTGCTTTTTGAACACAGACCCAGCCATCCACAGAAAGGAACTTCAAGGTCTTGTGGGGAGGGCATGGCTGAGTGGACAGTATGAGTCATGAGTCTGCCTTGGCCCTGGATCCCCTGTTCCGTTACCTTTCTTTTTGATCCCTGTGGCTTGGCCAAGTTAATAGAGTAAGAAGCGTGGCCCTTTCCTCTGTTCCGGCTCTCCAAGGACAAGGCCTGTTGCTGGGATGGGAAAGCTGTGAGGCATTCAAGCTGACTTCTTCCCCCACTCTCTTGCCAGGGGCTGGCCCAACTGTGTTTCTCTCACCTTGTGGGCTCACGCACCCCATGGGCTCTCACTACTCCCAACCCAGGATTCACACTGAGGTTTTATTTGTTTGCTTTGTTTTAATATGGAAGATTGTGCTTTCCCTACTGTGCCAGAGTTGTCCTTGGCTAAAGGATGAGAGGCCTGGGAGCTAATCTGAACTTGACCTCTTGACTCACTGTGAGCATTTGCTAAGCCCCTGGCCCTTTTCCCATCTGTAAGATGAGTGGACCTGGATACTCTAGGGTCTTAAGGCTTGTTGGATTCTGAGATTTTAAGATCCTGGGATTCAAGTGTCTGAGGGCCTTGGGCTCTGGTTTAAGCTGGGAGTTTGTGCTCATAGCCGCCTGGGCAGATGGGGCTGCCCCGGCCTGCCTGGACAACGCCCTCACTGCCCCTTTCTCTCTTCCAGGATGCTTTGCTGAGCCTGGGCTCTGTCATCCACATCGCGGGCTTCCGGCGGGCTCTCAAGGAGGCCCTCTCAGCCGTGCTCCCCAAAGTGGTAGGTGCTTTGCCTCACACTTCCCCCACCCCCCAAACCTTTGCCCAGCTTCTTGCTGTGCACCTCACACAGAGCTGAGAAGGAAGGAAGAGGCAGGGTCCCTGCCCAGAGGATTCTCGCAGGGAAGGGAAGGGTTTGGGTAAGTGTTCTGAGATGGCATCCTGGAAGAGAAGGGCTGAAGCAAAGTCCCAAAGAATGAACTTACATAGGAATTCTGGAATGTCAGAGACAGAATGGGACTTGGAGTTTAATTGGAAAGATCATGTCTCAGATAATGGAAAGGATTCTCCTAGGATAATAGCTAGAACATAGTGGAGTCAAGTGGGCTTTGGAATATATAGCTGGAGGGGTTAAGGGTAGACATGTGGAAGAACTTGATGCCAGGTCCTGTCCTAGAGTTGCTAGAATGAGGCTCAGCTTTATTGAGTGAGTCGTGTGAAGTTAAAGTGTCCTATCCTGGAGATAGGAAACCTTTAGGCTTCTCTCTGATCTCCCCCAATACCATGGATGATTGCTGATTGGGGGCAGGTGGAGGGTTGCTGCTTGGGGCCCTGGTCCCCTTGGTTGCCTGGGCTCAGAGAGCCTTGGTAAGGGAACTGTGCCCCTCCTGAGCTTCCCCCCAGCCATTCCCCAACCTTGCTCCAGTGGCTACTGCTCATACCACAGGCAGTAAGACAAGTAAACTTGTCCTCAAGACCTGAAGCCGCACTGTCTCAGCTGTCAGTCTGGTAGGGGGAAGCGGGGTGTGGCCTGAACCAGCCAAAGGAGCACTGAAGACTTCCTGGAGGAAGAAATGCCTCGACTAGGTCCTGTAGCCTGGAATCCCCTCTCCTTTACTCTAGACACTAAACAAAGTCAGCCTCTGCCAAAATGTGACACCCTCCGCCCCCACCTCCACCCCTGCCCCCTATCATATCTGAATGAATCTACCTGATGGATGAAACACTAGAGGCCCAGAGAGGGAGGGCACCTCACCTGAGGTCACACAGCATGACAGAGACAAATGGGGTTTGGCACCTAAGCATCCCCATTCTCTCTCCTCAGCTCTGCCTTCTCAAACCTTCTAGAAGTTCAGAGCCCAGGAGGAGGGCTAATGAGTGAGCTTTATTGAGTGTGAAATTGGTAGGAAGTGGGTGGTGTGTTTGAGCCCAAAAATAAATCCTGACAGAGAAGGATAGGACTGAGGCAACATCTGGCCTGGGGTGGAGAAACATCTGGAAAGGAGGGGGTGGAGAGGTTAGCAGGTCAGCATCTGCAAGGCTGCCCTGGGCCTCTCTGTGACCACTGAGGCTGCCCCCAGAGGGATAAGGAGGAGGTGACTGGCTAGATCTTCATAGGCAGGGTGCCTGGTGGTTGTGCCGGTATAGATGCCCTGTACTGGATTAGCTGTATTCCCAAAGCTGGAGGCTTGGAAGACAGCTGTGGTCCAGACAATTAGGTTCCTGGGACAATGGGACATATCTCATGCAAGAGACCTGTATGAGCTAGGGAAGTCCTGACTTTGCGCAGCCCTGGTTTAACTGCAAGGAGGGTCTCAGTCCCTCCCACATCAACCCAAGAGGGGTGGGGAGATGGGAGGTGTGATCTGCACCCAGGGAGGTGGGGAGGTGAGAGGTCTGGTCTGCCCCCAGGGAGTGGGGGCAGGGATGGGGGGGCATCTGGCCTGTCCCCAGGAAGTGGGGGTAGATGGGAGGGTCTGCTCTGCCCCCAGAGGATGGGGGCAGGGATTGGAGAGGGTGGGTCTGGCCTGTCCCCAGGGAGTAGGGGGCGGGGGGAGGGGATGGGAGGTCTGGTCTTCCCCCAGAGGATGGAGGTGTTGGGGGTGGGGGAGATGAGAGCTCTGGTCTGCCTTCAGGGAGTGGAGGGGGAGAGGAGATGGGAGGTCCTGCAGCCCCCAGAGGAGGGAGTGGAGATGGAGGTGTCTGCTCTGCCCCCAGGGAGGGGTGCAGTGGCGGGGGAGGGGTCTCCATACTCCCCCTCAGTGAGGAGAGCCTCTGGCACCTGGCTCCCTCATCAGCGCCCATTGTGGCAGGCAGCCCCGAATGCAGATGGTGCTGATGTGTCTGAAATGGTTCCCTCCTTCTCTCCAATAAACTCAGCTAATTTTAACCCAGAGGGCTGAGAGTGAGGGGGTGGGAGACCGAGGGACATCCAGAAGTGATGGGGATCTGTCCTCCTGGGCTCCCCACCCCATGTGCACCCACCTCTCTCTGCCAAGGCAAGACTCTATGTGACCCTGCGTGCAGGGTGGTCTCTTAACCTCTTTGAGCCAAATCCCTCAGCCCTCACCCCCGCCCCCAGGCTGCTGCAAGGATTGGAGGACAGGAAGGAAGCTGGATATAGATGAGGAAAGGCCTCCTTCCCTGACCTCCCAGCCTCTAGACCCTTACTCTGGAGGATGAGGGGCCTCCAGGCCTGGCCTGTGCCTGTCCCTGTCCCTCTTCTCAGGCCCTATCATCCCAGCCCACACCACCAATGAACTGGCTCAGCTTTTCTGGAAGCAGGACTGGAACTGGGGGCTTGGAGGGTGGGGGCAGCCAAAGACAACAAGAGTGGTTGGCAGGAAGGACCACTGCTTCAGCCAAGAGGGATTCCATGCTTACCGGCATACTTACTACGGGTGGGCCTTCAACACCTTGCTCCAGTGTCATCTCCTCCAGAAGCCCTCCCTGATAGCGGCAGCAGAGAAGAGAGCCCTCCCTCCCCCCACCAAGAAAACAGCACCTCTCAGGATACTTAGCTGGGTGTGTGGGTGCCCTGCGGGGTCTTCTGGGCAGCACTGGCCTCTGGGTCTCCCTTCCCGGCCCCAGAGTGCAGATGGTGGGGCTCTCAGTGAAGCTGGGCTGAACGAGCTGGTTATGGATCCCTCAGGGTGGCCAGTCCTGCCTGGAGGAGATGTAGATTTTTCTCCCTGGGTCAGTGAGGGCAACTACTTCTGCCAAGACGTGGCCTGAAACCGAGGCCAAGATGGCTCTGGGCCCTTGGGGAAGGCAGATTGACAAGCTGAAGACTTGACAAGCTTCAAAGAGAGCTTTGATCTCACTCTGGGGAAGATCACTCCAAAATATGCACCTGCTCCTTGCTCTCAGGGCTCACAGCAGTCTCCTCCCCATGTTTATAGGCACTGCTGACCCTGAGACAGCCTCCTGTGCCCACTGCCTCCACTGTCCATTCCACAGACGCTCTGTGCTAGCCTGCTAGCCTGCTCTGTGGCCTAGAAGCCACTCTTCTATGCCTCACCCACTCCCAGAATGTGTTTAATTTTTACTATAGTTACAGCTGTAAGGTCACTTCCTCCAGGAAGTCCTTCTGGCTTGAGTCACAGTGTGTGGTTTCTTATAGAATTATTTCTGTCTCTGAGGTAGGAGGGAACCTTCCAGGGCATTCTGAGCCCCTCTTTCCATATAGCCCTGAGAAGATCACTCAGTTATTTGCGGAGGCTGGAGTCCCAGCAGGAAATATCTTGGGATGGGTGGTGGATGGGATTTGTCTGCATCTCAACCCTTTAGACTCTGTCCCCAACACTTTGGATTTGGAGTGATAGACAAGGAAAGCCTGCAGGGTCATGGGTCAGTGCCTCTGCCCCAAGAACCCTCTCCAAGAGGAGAGGGCCACGTATAAATTCATAAGGGACTTTTTCCACCCTGGCTACATGTTAGAATCACCTGGGGAGTAAAAACAAACAGATGCTTGAGCCCACTCCTAGAAGGTCTTTGACCTTGTCCCCCAGATCCTTGTCTGGGCTGGGACAGGGCAGCTGGGAGGGCTCTCCACAGGGTCTCATGAGTGCCTTCTGTCCTAGGAGACTGTCTACACCTACCTGCTAGATGGGGAGTCCCGGCTGGTGTGTGAAGACCCCCCCCACGAGCTGCCCCAGGAGGGGAAAGTCCGGTGAGCCATTCTGCACCCCCTTGCCTCTAGCACAGTCGAGGATCTCAGGCCTGGGGGACCTTCCAAAGTCATCCAGTCTGATCTCCCCCACCTGACCTTGACCTCAGCTTCCCTCCCAGCTAGGGTTCCTTGGCTGGGTCACTGACAGCCCCCCAGAGGGGATAAGCCATGTCTTTTCTCATTTTGTGCTGGGGCAGTGGATGGCTCAGGGAAAGTGCCAACTGGTAGGTTTTCTTCTAGAAACCTGGAGAGCTCTTCTAAATTGCCGCAGCCTCCTCAGAGCCCAGTCTCAGAAGGTCAGGGCTGCAGTTTATCAGTTAGAACCCAGCAGGCTATGAGAACTGCCTGTAGAGTTCTCATAGAATCACAAAATGCTGGACCTGCCGGGAGCACATGGTGTCAACCTGGTATCTGAGAGCAGGGAGATGGAGATCAGAGACTGAGTCCCGCTGTGGGTTTTGAGCCTGACCGTCTGGGTTCAAATCCCAGTTCCTTTTTACTGACTGTATAACCTAGGGCAAGGTACTCAACCTCTCTGTGCCTCCCTTTTCTTGTTTGTAAATGGTGATAATAATAGTACTTATCTCATAGGGTTGTTGAGGGAGAATTAAATGAGCTTACCACAAGCACTTAAAACTGCATCCATAAGAAATGCTAAATGTCTGGTTTTATTTTTATTATGATAGAATGTTGGAATCGCTGACTTTAGGAGCACCAGGTTCAGGGCTCTGTGGTCCCCTGATACCTCTGAGCCTGTTGAATAAGATAAGCCTCCTTATCTTCCAGATGAGCAAATATCATGAGACGTGTCCAAGGCCACATACCTGGTGTGAGACAGAGGCAGGCCTGGGACACAGTCTCCTGGCTCCTGGCCATTCAGGAGACAGCGAGGGGAAGTGGAACTTGTCAGATGAGAAAGTGTTGACAGGCAAGAGTGCTGGTCCAGAGCAAGGCAGGCCACGGAGGACATGGTCACACTGCCTTGTGAGCACTGCAGGGCCATTGTGGGCCCAGGGAGTTCTAGGCCAGGAGCTAAGGGCTGAGTGGGTACCATTGGGGGTGTTACTAGAAGGGCAGGGCTTTCCCAGCAGGCCAAGTGGTCCAGCAATGTGGCTTTTTCAGGTGGTAACTGAGGCTGGCAAGACACGCTCCTTTCACGGAAGCCAGGGAAAGAATTGCTGTTTAGGGATGCCAGAGGTTCCTGAGGCTGGGGATGTGGGTGGTTTTGAGGACCCTCCTGGTACTTGGGACCCCAGATTCCTGGATGCTGGCCTCTCTCCAGCCCTTCCCCATGGAAGGGGCTGGTGCCTCTCCAACAACCCAAGAGCTTTCCCAACTCCTGTTCTTCCATTTGGTCCCCGCATGGGGTGGGTGGTGGGTGACACTGTCCCCTTCAGTATCTCCTGACAGTTCCTCCCTTCAAGACTGTGTGAACCAAGCCAGCCAAGCCCCTCTCTGGCTTCTGTTGTCCCTTCTGTAAGACTGTAAAATAGGACTGGAAGTTTCTTTGGAATCTTAAGGAAAAAGAATGCTATAATGCTATAATAACCCCTTTTCTCCTCTGAGCCAGCACACCTACTGCTAAGAGCTTTGCTTCATATGAGCTTGCTCTGTCCAGGAAGTTTCCTCAAAGTGGCCTAGGAAGGCCTTCCTGGGAGAGGGATGCAGGATCATGGACTCAGAAAGCAGGAGGGGAGCATCCCGATGGGTTTGCTCTGCCCCTTCTGAGCCCACAAATGGTCCCCTTAGGCTTTCTGCTGTGAGATGGGGTGGATGGGGGTGTCTGTGGTCCAGGCATCTTGGAGGGGTCTCAGATCTTTGGCACTGGCAGCTCTTTCAGTATTCCCTGACCCCCTAATCCACAACCACTTCGTACTTAGTAAAGCCTTTGGAAAAGGTACCAAAGAAAAAGAAAAAGAAAGAAAGAAAAGGCAATTAAAAGTGAATGTTCTAATGCAATTGACCCAGAGTTCAGTGGAGATGGGGAGGTAAGCATCTGCTAGGAGACAGGGTTCAGAAATCAGAGGAGTCAGAGGAGTAGAAGCTAGTAAGGGGCAAGAGGGGTGAGGCCGCACACATCTCAGGGGATACAGAGATCAAAGCTCCTTCGGTCCAGTAAGGATTGGGGGTAAAGGTTTAGGTCAGTGCTGTCTTCTGAAACCTGTGCTATGCTTGCCTCCTCTGTGTCTGGTGTTAAGCCTATCCCTTTGGCAAGGGCTAAGACCTACCTAGGTATGTGGAAGAGGAAAGAACACTGGAACTGGAGTCAGATAGGCCTGGATCCTACCCTGGCCTGATTACTGCCTCCCTGTGTCTGCTTCCAAGACTATTTTCCTTTTTTTTTTTTTTTTTTAATGTTTTATTTATTTCTAGGAGAGAGAGAGAGACAGCGTGAGCAGGGGAGGGTCAGAGAGAGAGGGAGTCACAGACTGAAACAGGCTCCAGGCTCCGAGCTGGCAGTCAGCACAGAGCCTGACGCGGGGCTCGAACCCACGAACCGCGAGATCATGACCTAAGCGAAAGTCGGACGCTTAACCGACTAAGCCACCCAGGCGCCCCTCCAAGCCTATTTTCTTATCCCTAGAGCAGAGATAACAGTAGGACCTGTCTTTTGGTGTAATGAAGTAATGGCTGCCCAGTGCTTAACCCAGTGTCGGACACACAGTCAGAGCTCAGTGGTTGCTGGTTGCCCTCCACCCCCAAGTCTCAATTTCCCCATCCGGGTGACCTTGAGAAAATTACTTCCCTTCTTGCTTCAGTCTTTTTCTATAAAACGGGTGGGGCTTGGTGCAGGGTCCTTCAGGGGTGACCTCTGCAGTTCTGGCCCCAGCAGGACACTGGGGACCTGCCTCAGGCTAAGGCTGAGGCAGTGCCCAGTGGAGGGGGCACCACTCCAGGAAACGCTGGAGGGCTGGCAGGGCTGGCAAACAGCAGCAGGTGTGAATAGAGGCGGGTCATAAAGACAGATAAGAACAGGAGAGAAGGGGTGGAGGAGGGGTTAAGGTGGTATGAGAGAGGCAGGGGAGACAGTCCAAGGGGCAATGGGGAGGTCTCCTACCCCTCTGTGGGCTCGCAGATGCCCAGTGTCATCCTCACAGTGTGTTTTGGGTTCCCTGCCCCCTCAGGCCAGCCCATGCCCTCTTCTCTCTAGCAGAGCCCTTTCCTGCGTGGCTCCCTCTCAGCCAGCCTCACTTCCCTAATCTCCCGCAGCCCAGTGGGAGGCACTCTAGGAGGCCTGCTCCACAGTTCCTGGCACTGAGGAAGATCCAATTTCAGGAAAAGCTGTCTGGCCATGCTGGCTGCCCTCAGGAATGGGTCTTTCCACAAGCAGAGACACAGGCTGGGAGTCAGGAGGCCTGGGATCCAGGAGGGCATCCTGCGATTGTGCCAGGTCTCTGTCCCCTCCTGGGAGACAGTAAGACGGAACACTGCCATGGCTGAGGGCTGGTCGAGCTCTGCATTCCAAGGGCTGGAGGGGAGAGCCTCCCGGAAGTCTTTGTCTCCCTCAATCTCCCCGCCTATTTCAGTCCCCAGCCCTGCCACCTTCTTCTTCTCATTGTGTCTCCTGCCATCTCAAAGCCTCTCGTTACCCAGTGCTGAGTGCGGTGGAGTCTGAGGCCTTTCGGCTGCCATGGGGACACCACCCACACCCGCCCCAGCTGCTTGTCTCCCTCCACTAACATTTGGGGGTACCAGGGCCCAACCTTGACACGTTCCTTCCTCAGAATGGACCTGGTCCTCTTTTACCACAGAATCTGTGTGTTCCTCTGATTTGTCTCAAAGGACACAGGGAAGAGTCTTCCCATCTCCAGTCTTATATTCTGGGAGAGGGAAGGGGAGGGGAGGGTCCAGGCTCTGGCCTGAATCATAATTTGTCTCCAAGAGAGATGAAAGGTCAGAGAGAGATTGAGGCCCTGGGAGGTGGGAGGTGGGGTGGGTGCTCAGTAAAGGGGATAGGGCCTCACCAAAGAAGGGGCTCAGAGGAGGGGAAGGGGACCTGGGCACTCAGCTCTTTCCAGGCCATTGACCGTACCAATAGAGAGCCTTTTTCTCTACTCTTGCCACTAAACAAATAATTGTTAAAGGGACGGAACCATCATAAAGTCCACGCCCGTTCCTCTCTTCACTCTCTGCCCATCTGTCTTTATCGTCACTGGGGCAGACATGACCACCCAGGCACCAGGACTGAGTCATTAGCCTTCAACTTGGACAGCTGGCCCCTGCGTGTGGAGTCCCCTCACCCCCACCATCAGCCTGGCAGGGGGAGGCAGGAGGCTGGAGTCATCAGGAGGGAAGATGAGGCAGGGCAGAGAGTCCTAAATTGAAGAAGGAGCCATTGGGATGGAGCATAGACAAAGTCCCCACCCTCTTCTGGGTGGAGGAGACTCAGCTGGGGCCCACCCCTTCCCCTTGCAGTCTGTGGGTGTCTTTAAAACCTCCAGGAGGACAATAGTTCTGGGAAGGGTGCAGCAGAGGAAAAGGGCTTGCATGGGGTGGGCTGAGGTGAGCATGGCCCAGTGCAGACCTGCCTGGCTGGGCCAGGGAGGGCAGGTTGCAGAGCAAGGTGCCAAGGTCAAGGACTCCTGAGGGTTTAATCTTAGGACTTAAAACTAGGAGGACTGGGAGGCCCCAGTGTTCAGTGAGAGATCGGGGCTCAGTCAAGGTTGATCTGCCCCAGCCCCACCTCTCCTCCACTGACCAGGGACCACTGTGACCAGAGGCCTTTCCTGACAGGAGGTTTCTAGTCTCTCAGATTCTCCCTGTGTAGTGAGAGTTTTACTCAGCAGCTAAACTGATCAGCCTGAAAGCAAACCTGACCTTTACCTTCCCCTATTCAAGTCCCTCCTGGAGCTCCCACTGCCCTTGGGATCATGCCTAGCTCCTCAGGGCTCTCTCTAGCCTCGCTCCAAGCTGTCCAGACACACTAACTTTCTTGCAGTTGGGCCACCCAGCAGACATACGTTCTTTCTCTCCTCTGAGCCTCTACACATGCAGTTCTCTTTGCTTGCACATCCCTTCCTGTCTGTCTTGACTCAACTTAGCATCACCTCCTCCAGGAAGCCTTTTCTGACACTAATTCCACGGGAAACAGTTGTGAGAGATGCATGGGGGTGATTCGCTCATTGGATGGGGGAGGTGAGGAAGAAAGAGGTAGCTAGGACAGTTTGTAGACAAGCCACAAGGGACCCGGTAGATGGTTGTGCCACTTTATGGTGATGGAGAGAATAAGTTCAGATTGGGTTGAGATTGGGTGCCTTTGACAACCTCGGGGACATCCAGGGAAGGCTACTGGGAGGCCTTTGGGTATCTGGGGTTTGGAGCTCATGAGAGTGGGGGCTAGAGAGTCATGGGGCCATGAGCACAGAGGACAGAGTTTTGTGCAGAAAAGAAGAAAGGCTGAGGGAAGATTCCTTCATCAGGTTCCTGGGTTGTGGGGTAGGGGGCAAGGCCAAGGGAGCCCCTGGTTGGGGCATGGCTGGGGGAAGAAGGGTGTCAGGGGTCAGAGAGATGAAGCTGCAACACTTAACTGACCAGCAACGGAGGGACCATCGCCACCTTGTGGTTGTCCAATAAATAGACGCTGCGAGGCCAAGCGGCTGAGTGGGTTCAACAAGAGGGGATTTGGCTGAGGGTCATCAAGACCTGGCCCCTGTCTCCATGAAGACCCAGCCTTTATCAATTTAGTCACCAGCAAACACGGGTGCATTGCTCTAATGCTGCCCTAGGTTTCTATTCCTTCCTGGGGTGACTGGACAGCGCTGGGGCCTAGCACTCCAGGAGCCTAATCCAGAGTGTGAAGGCTAGACTAAGGTGGGAGTGACCACTGGTTCTTGTAGATTCTGAACCAAGAGGCCAGGAGTGAATGGATCCAGTTCAGAATGCTGCATGGCCTTTACCCAGAAGCTCAACCTCTTAGCCCTCAATTTCTCTAGAGGCCGTGACCTTCTAATCAGGAGACTTGTAGGCTGCCTCCTCTCTTTTCCTCATCTGGCCTTTGCTTGGCTCCCCTGCATGTGACCCCACATGCACACACTGGAGTCCCAGCCCCCCAGGCTTCTCTCATCTTCAGGCCAGGCAGTCCCTACAAACACAATTAAGTGGAGGCAGCATGAGGGATGAGGAACCCAGGACAATTAATCATCAGGGAGTGACAGTTGGTAAAAAATCAGGCACTTAATTAAGCAGGAAGAGCTAGAGGTGGAGGGGGGGGGGCTTATGTGTAGTAAGGGCAGAGAGAGACTCATTCTTCCTACACCACCTACCCCCCACTGCTCCTCCATCACACCTGCACCCATTCATACCAATCGCATTGGAAACTCACATCCCCTCAGGTCGTGAGGAAGGTTTCAAACACACCAGTTAGGAGTATGGGCTCTGGTGCCAACTGCCTCGGTTCCAATGCTGACTCTGCCACTTATTAGCCATGGGACCTTGGATTGGCTCCTAATTCCCGGTAACTTAGTGTCTCCACCCGAAAATGGAAATGATGATAATATTTAATTCACAGTATAGCTGGGAATTCTGAGTTAATCTCTATGAGTTGCTTGGACTGTGCATTGCACATAGGGAATGGAGCATAAACTTTAGTTATGACAATTACCTCTGGAGCCCCCCTGTGCTTAGCACCGACAGTTGCTCTAGAATGTTTTTCTTCTTTCTTCTTTTAATTTAGTTCTTTAATTAATTTAATTCTTTTAATTAAAGCATAGTTGACATGCAGTGTAACACTGGTTTCAGGTGTATAGAATGGTTTTCTGGGGATTGAGATGGTTAGGATTCTCCTCTCCGCTGCACTCTTTCTCCCTGGGAAGCTCAGAGAGGTAGACCACTTGCCCAAGGTCAAGTAGTAGCCACAGCAGGATTTAACAGAGGCAGCCCAGCTCTGAGCCCTTGCTTTACTTGCCCTGGGGGACCTGCGCTGGGCCCCAGGGCACTTTTGCATACCCACCAACAAGAGGCACTAGAGCCAGACTATGGCTGCCTGCCCCTCCACATGGGAGGTCAGGGTTCCTATCTCTTTTATTTGTGTCCTCCTCGTGTCCACCCTGTGGCCAGTCAGCTTGCCTAGATTCTTGCAGACATGCAGAGCCCAGCCTGCTGTGTGTCCCCAGGTTAGGGCCTGCACCTTTTTGATCCAGGGACTGAGAGGTGGGACTGAGAGGTGGGATCACATTCTCTTTTAGAGAGGCTGTGACCTCCCGGAAGCGGCTGGGCTGCAATGGACTGGGCCCCTCAGACCTGCCGGGGAAGCCGTTGGCCAGGCTGGTGGCTCCACTGGCTCCTGATACCCAAGGTAAGGGCTGTGAACTGGGCAGGGGCAAGGAGGGACTGTGCCCCACCCCCCTAGACCCTGTCTGTCTTCTATCCCTGTCTTCATCTCTCTGTCTCCTTCTTTCTCTTGCTCTGTGTCTCCAGCAATCCCTTCATCTAATTCTCTCTCTGTTGTGCTACTAACCTCTCTGAGCCTCAATTTCCTCATCTGTAAAATGGGGATGAGAGAACCTACCTTGAGGGGGTGTTTTGAGGAGGAGCAAATGAGATAACGCATGTTAAAGGCCTGGCACATACTAGTGCTTCGTGGCCAGTGGCTGCCGTGGTCATGTGCTTGTGTCTATTGCTAGATGGGCTGTGTTGTTGTCATGCTTTCTCTGTCACTGTCTCTGTTTTTCTTTCTCTTCATCTCCACACCCCTGTCCGCCATGTCTCTCTGCCTCGTGTCTCAGTCTCTCTAGGTCTCTGTCCTCTGTCTCGATGTGGAAAGTGCACAAGACTGGGAGTCAGGAGACCTGACTTGCTGTGTGATCTTGGGCAAGTCACTTCCCCTTTCTGGACCTCAGTTTCCCAATCTGTAAAATAGGGTGCTCAGCCTTACCTGCCTCCTGCTCTCTCAGGGTTGCTGGGGTGGTCACAGGAGAGTTGTAAAATGAGGGGGCTTCCTTCCATGCAAGGGACATTGCTGTGGTTGTTCTGTTGCCGCCTCAGGACCCCTTGTCTCTCCGGGTCTCTGGGTCTTTCTGTGTCTCTGTCCCGGCCTTTTTGTCTGTCTTTGTCTCCCTCCCTGGGGCTTGGCTCCATATCTCTGAGCCTCGTTAGCCTCGCAGGACCACCTCATTGCCCTCTCCCCCTCAGTGCTGGTCATGCCGCTGGTGGACAAGGAGGCTGGGGCTGTGGCAGCTGTCATCTTGGTAAGAACAGTGCGGGGTGGGATGGGGGAGTGGAGACCAGGGGAGGGACAGCGGATGGAGCCTGTCTAGCGTGTGTGTGTGTGTGTGTGTGTGTGTGTGTGTGTGTGTGAACAGCAAGCTGGGCTGGAGTCGAGGAAATGTAGTGTAGGAGGAGTCTGAGCTTCTCCCACACCCCAGCACCCTGCCCTACCTTGAATGGGCAGGACGAAGTCACTGGCCCACTCAGCAACTTTCAGAGACATGTACAAGCCCTTTTTGCACTTCTCAGCTACATGGAGCTGTTGGTGCAACCCTGACCTTACTTCCTCTTTGGCATCCTCCCTGCTGGGTTAGGAGCCAGGAGCTGTGTCCACAGAGGGCCTGAAAGACACTGAGGAATGATGGGTGGACATGGCCCTGACAAGTAGAGATTGTATGGGAAGGTCAGTCAGATTCCGGTGGCCGGAGCTCAGGAGCAAGAGAGGAGGTCCACCGGGAGGGGCTGCCTGGGAAGGCATCCAGCCCCATGGCTGACCAGGGCGGGCTTCTTGGAGGGGGAGATGGAGGGGAAGGGGCTTTTGTGATAAGGGGGGGATGCAAGGCCTGGGCAGGGGTGTAGGGTTGGGGGGTTCAGTCAGGCAGGGAACCCAGGCCAGGACTCCCCTGCCCTCTGCTGCCCCCTGGCGGAGCTCACCAGGTTTCTGCTCCACCAGCAGGGGTCGGCTGAGCTGGTGGGGCTGGTTCAGCCAGTCGTTCCTCTCTCCCATGGGCATTCAAAGTCATTGTCCTGTCCTAGAAACCCACGGTTAGCGCCCCCAAATCGCCACTGTTGGGGGCCACTTCCACCGAGGCAACCATCACCGCAATAAGGCACAGACGAGGGGGCATGGACAGATAAAGAGTGGGTCCTCGTGAGCCCGTGGGACTCCTCCAGAGCTCATTAAAATGGAATTAAAGGTTTCTGAGGCTCCTGACCTTTCCCGAGCTGCTGGAGGCGGGGCAGTGGTGGGAGTGGGGGGCGGCCGCGGTGGGGGGCAGGAGGAGAGGAAGGAAGGAGTGCTTGGCTTGGTCTCCTCGGAGCCCCATCTGCCTGACTGAGGGAGCCGCCGGCCCCTCGGTTTCTCCGGCAAGCTGCTCCCCCACCCCCAGCTTCTGTTCCCGCAGGGGACGGATCTGCTGTTGGCACAGAGTTCTCAGCGCCGCTTCCCTCCCTCTTTTGGTCCCAATCTGTGCCAGAGCTGGTGGCTTGGAAGAGGACCAGGGCTGGGGCCAATGTGCAGAGGTGGGCAGTGGGAGGTGGTGGTGGTAAATCGGTTCCCCACCTCTGCTGAGGGAAAAGAGTCAGGGAGTGCCAGTTTCCTGAGAAGGATTGGCTATGGAGGGGCGGTGAGGGCTGGGTCAGAAGGGCAGCAACTCCATGGGGCGCCTGGGTGGCTTAGTCGGTTAAGCTTCCAACTTTCGCTTAGGTCATGATCTCGGGGTTCGTGGGTTCGCGTCGGGCTCTGTGCTGACTGCCAGCTCAGAGCCTGGAGCCTGTTTCAGAGTCTGTGACTCCCTCTCTCTCTGACCCTCCCCTGCTCACGCGCGCTCTCTCTCTCTCTCCTAGAAATAAATAAAAAACATTAAAAAAAAAAAAAAAAAAAAAGAAGGGCAGCAACTCCAGCAAGCGGGAGACATTTGGAGTTTGTTCATCTTGGCCCAGGTTGGGCTGGGAGTCTAGGCTTCTGCCTTCTCTGAGAGGGGGAGTGGGGAGAAAGGCCTGTGTGTACATGTGTTGTGTCCTGGGGAGGTGGAGGGGCCACATTACTTAAATTTAACTCACCCTAGCAAAACCCTGGCTAGGTATTCCGGCAGGGTGCAGCAAGAGGAGACAGAAAGAGGAGTGAGACTCATTTCTGCCTTCTAGAAGCTCAGTCTGGGGGAAGGCAGGCACAGCCTCACACTACAACTGGCCAAATGAAATAAATGCTGCTAGCAGGTGCTGTGGTGGCAGAGGCTGGAGCAACAAGGGGTGCCTTGTGGTGGAGGCAGCATTTGAGTGGGGCTTTGGAGCATAGGGGAGGAGGTTGACAGGCAGAGAAGACTGGAAAGGATATTCTAGGCAGAGGGAACAGCATGGGCCAAGGCAGGGTGGGGAGAAAGGTGGCTGGAAGAAGAGCTTGATCCTGGTGAGGCTGAGGTGTGGAGTGCGTGCTGTTGAGCAAGATGCTACCTGGGGCTTTGGCTATTAGGTGGAGTTCCTGACAACTCTCTGTCCACCTCCTCAAATACCCTGAGCAGTGAAGAGCTTTTTTTTTTTTTTTTTTTTTTAAGAGCTCTTGAAAGGTATTTAGATTATTCATAGTCCGCCTCTACTCCAAGCCTGTGCCTTCCGACTCAGGTAGAAATGAGCTTCCCCAGGGCCCCCTTCTCCCACATGCATACACATCTGATGTGGATCTCACATCCTTCGAGAGGCAGCCCAGGCAGCCCCAGCCCTCCTAGCTGCTACCAGATCCTAGGGGCAGAGGATACAAAGGGTAAAAGGAGTGCCACAGGGCAGATATTTTGGGAGGGCTGACTCACCAGCTACTTCCTCAACAAGCCCCATTCCCTTCTCTGAGTCTTTGTTTGCTCTTGGTATCCATTTATCCATCCTCCAGCTGTCCTTCCATCCACCCACCCATCCGTCAATGGACGACAGATTTCTTAAGCACCGCCAGGCATTGTGTGCTAGGTGCTGTGAACAGCAGTGACTGACCCCTGCTTTCATAGACCACACAGTCTGGAGGGGTTGGGAGACAGACATCAAACAAGTGAGTGAAAAAAGGATAGAATTGCAAATGATGGCAAATGCTAGCAAGGAAACAGAGAGCCCTACAATATTGGAGCCTGATGGAGACATGGTCAGTGGAGAGCTCTCTGAGGAATATGCCAGCCAGGTGCAGGGCTGCCTGGCTGAGTGCTGGGCCTCTGCACCTTGCAGTTCAAGGTGCCTTGATTGTAGATTCTTTGCGTGGAAAGAGGCTTTAGTTCTGTTCTTCAGTTCTGGGATAATAAGTCCCGGGAGTGGGTGATGCTTGGTCTCTGGCATTTGATGCATGGTTTTTGCCCCTTTTTCTCTCCAGCTGTGCCAGTCACCCCAGCTCCTTATGCGAGGATGAGGTGTTCGTGCAATTAGGCCTGTTGAACTTGGTGAGGGTGAGGGGTGTATGGGCTGCGCTGGGCTCTCAACCCTCTCTACAGCCCCCATGCCCGCTGCCGAGTTTTCCACTGGGCCCCAGACACACTCCTTAACTACCAAGAGTATGTTGCAAGTTTGTGTTCCTATTGGGTGAGCAAAAAGCCATGTGTGAACATTAGTGACTATGCGTTTGCATGAGGGGGCCAGAAGTGGGTGCATGGCTCTTGGGTATGTGAACCCAAGTATCCTGTGTTCAGGTATGAATGTGCACATATGGATGGTGTATATGCTGTGAGGGTGGGTGTGTGGGTGTCTTTGAATCTGCGACTGTATTCTGTGTGTGCGTGTGTGTGCACACATGCCTGAGTATCTCCATGGCAAAGTGAGTGTATGGGTGGTGCTGAGGATTTTCATGAGACTGTTTGTGTGTGCGCTTATGCAAATGCTGGGTGGGGATGGGCTGAGGCAGCCCAGGAGTGTGTGTTGGGGCAGGGTGGGGTCCAGTGGCTGGGGGTGGACTCTGTGATTTCTTCCTTTACTCCAGCCCTTCTGAAGCTCTCCTTCAGTCTCCCAGCTCTGTATTGGCACCAGGCTGTATTGCCAACCCAGGAACTAGTTGTCCCCACCACACTAGAGGGGTCCCAGTCTTCCCTTTCCCTGAGAGATGGGTCAAGGCAGAAGGAACAAAAAGGATAACACAGTAAAATACCAACATGTTTATGTAAGCATACACAAATGAACCATGCGCTCAGTCTCTTTCAGCTCCCCGTTCTATGGGAGTCATTGATGGTGCTTCATCCAGAGCTTAGCCTTCAATACCATCTTTGGTCCACAGATGCTAAAGTCTGCCCCATTGGTCCCCTGTACAATTACGCTGAAGTCCAATTCCTTAGCCTTGCACTCAAGACTCTTCCCCCTGCAGCTCCATGGACCGCACCCCTACCCTGGTCCTCATATCCCCAGGCGACCTACTAGCCAGGACAGCCCCTGCCTGCAGTGTCATCTCTCTTCAGGCCTCACATTTCCTCCCCATACTTCAGTGCCAGTTCTAGAAGCCTCCCTGATGCCCTCCCCCTCCAAGCTCCCACAAGCCTTCAGTTCTCACCCACACAGTCTGCCCTCTCCTACTTCCTCAGGTTTGAGGTTCTGCACCCACCAATTGCATCCCCCACTCCATCCCACCCCAGCCAGACTGTGAGCTTTCTGAGAACCTGCTGGGCTCCTCCTCTCCATCTGCTCCAGGCAGGGGACCTAGAGCAGAGGCGGGCAGGGGCTGCTGAGTGGGGAGCGAGGATGAAGGAAGGACCCCATGCAGGCACCGTGGGGAGCCCTGCAGGTGGCAAGCAGCCCTGAGTAGGCGCAGGAAGCTGGTGACGAAGGTGGGGAGCCTAGCTGGCAGGGCCTGCAGTGGGGCCCCAGACTACCACCTCGCTCTCTCTCTCTCTTCTCTTCATTTTTCTTACCAAATGCCCAAGCAGGGGTGGGGGAAGGGCCTTCAAGAGATAAGAAGGTGGGCTGAGAATATTCCTGGTGACGGACACAGGGAAGTTGGAGATGGACAGGACAACAGGATGGTGGAGGTTGGGGATGGGAGGGGTGAGGGTGGATCCAGACAGGGGAAGGTTATGTGCAGAAGAGGGAAAGGAGTGGGTGGTGCTGTCCCAACTCTGCCACTTTCTGCTGTGTAACCTTGGGAAAGCAATTCCACCTTTCTGTGCCTTGCTTTATATGCAGGGTAGAAGCTTGCCTTGTGGGCTAGTGACAGAATCACATGTAAGACAAGCACTTTATCACTCCTTTCATTCATGCACCCATCTTCCTCTCACATTCTTTAGGCACAGCAGGTGCATCATAAATGTTGAATCTCTTCCCTTACTCCAGACTCTGGGGCAGCTCAAACCCCAACTCAGAATAGGTGGAGCTGGAAGCTGACTAATAGCATTGATTCCATAACAGGCTGTTAAGGTTTCCATGGGCTGGGAGATGGAAAAGGGCCCAAAGTCACCCCCCTTCCTCACTAAACACCTGGACTGTATTGTTGATGGGACAGTGACTGAAAAGACAGAAATCAGAAAAATTCTATTTCTTTGGCTTAGCCCCAGAAGGCTTCCTGGAGGAAGGAATTTTCTTGGAGCTGTCTGCTTTGTCAGAAGGATGGGCTTATCATTGAGGCCTGGAGACTGGAGTGTGTATGTGTTGGTGGGGACAAGTGTGTGCTGGGCATGAGGAGGGCACTCTGGCAGGGACAGGAGGCTAGGGGAGGTCACAGCTGGCCCCCCTCTCATATTCCTCCAGGTGCACTGTGGCCAGCTGAGTGACAGTGAAGAGTGGAGCCTGCAAGCCGTGGAGAAGCATGTGAGTGGGGGTAGGGCTGGGGTAGGATGGGGGCTGATGAACACCCTCATCATAACTGGTGGGAAGATGATCTGGCCAGGGAGCTGGACAGGCCTGGGTTCCAGTCCAGCATCTTTGGGCTGTATGACCTTGAGCAACTCACTTAACCTCTCTGAGCCTCAGTTTCACATCTGAAAATGAGGATAAGGATCACAGTGGCCTGCTTATGGTACTGGTGAGATAAGGCACCACAAATGCCTTGTCAATACTTAGGAAGGACCCTTCCTAATATTGAGGCTCTTTCCTGGGATCTTACTCCCATGAGTGCTAAAGACACTGAGAAATCTGATCCTCCCCTGTATTGTAAGAGCCTGGTGGCGGGCGGGGGACACAACCCTGTATTTAGCTGTTCAGGACCAAAGGATGTTCCTGGGACAGTGGGAGCCCAAAGGTGGGTGGAGCGCTGAGGGCCAAGTTGTTTGGGACCGGGATTGGGGCGGTGGCTCTGCAGGAGGGGAGAATGGTTTGAGCAAAGGCGAAGGTCCCCAGGCAATGTGTGTGGTAAAAGTGTGACGAGTGTGTCGCTGACCGGTCCGCTCGCCCCAGGCTCTGGTGGCCCTGCGAAGGGTGCAGGCTCTGCAGCCCCGTGGGCCTGGCGCGGCCTTGGAAGCAGTCCAGAACACCCCGGCGGGGGCGGCGGGAGACCAGAAGGGCGGTGTTGCGCACACCGACCAGGACCGAAAGATCCTGCAGCTGTGCGGTAAGGACCCAGCCTGGCGGGTCTAATCAGGAAGAGAGGGGCCAATGGGAGGGGGAGCCAGGTGGCAATGGGAAGGGAGGTCTATGGGCTAGGCGGGCAGGTGGAGCACCCTGGGGGCGTATGTGAGCCTTCTCTCACACCCGCGGGTCGCCACTGCAGGGGAACTCTACGACCTGGACGCCTCTTCCCTGCAGCTCAAAGTCCTCCAATACGTGAGTGCCCGTGCCTCTCCCCCTGTGATCCTTCAGGGACCTAGGTCCCAGTGGCCCCTCCTTCTAGGTTCAGATTCCGACGCCCTGCCCCTATTCTCTCCTCCTACCTGAGGAACCTCAGAGGCGAGAGCTGGGGAGCGGGGGGTGGCCCTAGATCCTCCGTTAGCCCCTCTCGGTCCCTGCATTTCAGCTGCAGCAGGAGACCCATGCGTCCCGCTGCTGCCTCCTGCTGGTGTCTGAGGACAATCTCCAGCTTTCCTGTAAGGTGAGGGCCCAGGGGCACTGTGGGGCTGGGCAGGGGACTCAGGTCTCTGAGGGGAACAGCCTTGCCCACCCTTTAACTGGTCCCGCCACTCTGCCACATAGGTCATTGGAGATAAAGTGCTGGAGGAAGAAACCAGCTTTCCGGTGAGTCCTGTGTCGGTCCTCAGTGTTGGAGCCTGTGGGAGCAGTTAAGGCCAGCTAGGCACTCCAGGGATCTGCCCAGAAAGACTGGGGTCTACTAGAATCTCTTGGAATCTGATAGAATTATCTGGATCTTGGGATCTAGTTAGAAATGTTATGAGAGATCACAGTCTTTAGTGAACAGGCTCCATTAGGAGAGCTCTCTTATAATCTATAGAAAGGCATACTTGGGACCAATTCACTTCTGTTGGAATATTTCTGGATTTGGCTCTTAGAATTTTTGAGATCAATGGGAATCCTTGGGGTTTGCTCCTCTCTATCCTAATTAGGGAAGACCCTAAAGTCTTTCAAAAGGGATTCTGGTCAAGAGCAGATCTTCCCCCCACCCTCACCCCCACCCTCCAGTGTTGACTCTACCCACCATTTGGACTTACTAAAGAAGTTGTTGAAACTTCCAGACTTGGGACAGAGGTTGAGTCTGAGGTCACGTGACCTTAGAGAGAACTAGGCCCTGACTCAGCCTCTCTTCACTCTCCAGTTGACGACAGGACGCCTGGGCCAGGTGGTGGAAGATAAGAAGTCTATCCAGCTGAAAGATCTCACCTCTGTAAGCCATGGCCTGGCTGGACCAGGGAGGGAGGCAAAGGGACAGGGTCTCTGGGACAAGGCAGCCTGGGAATGGGGGAGACAAGACCCAGGGACCTTTTCCCAACCCGCACCCATGTCCTAGTGTTTCCCATCTTACAAAGGTCCCTTAGAACTGCCTGTTGCAGGGGTGATGGAGGGCAGAGGAGGGAAGCATAGTCCCTCCTTCCCTGCCCTGGCATGCCTCCGCCCTTTGCAGGAGGATGTGCAACAGCTGCAAGGCATGCTGGGCTGTGAGCTGCAGGCGATGCTCTGTGTTCCTGTCATCAGCCGGGCCACTGACCAGGTGGTGGCCTTGGCCTGCGCCTTCAACAAGCTTGGAGGAGACTTGTGAGTCTTGGTGGGGTGAAGTGGATCAGGAGCTGAAAGGCTGGGCAGGGCTCTCTACTAGGGTAACAGGGAAGGGTGCCAGGCAGGGGATACTGTCCCAGCAGTGGTGAGTCAAATGGTTTGTTGGTATAAGAGACTATGGGATTGTGAAGGTGCTAGACCCTTGCAGCTGCTGGCTGAGGCACAGGTCATTGTTGACTCTCCATCCCCCATTTTGGCTTATTTAAAATCATGCTGAGGTCCAAATGAGTTCCCCTCCTCTCTGCCCACCTCCCCCAGTCTGGGTTATCCACTGCTAGAGTACTGGCCTTTCCCCCACTTGCCATCACCCCGTTTTGGCTTTTCTGTTGGGAACTGCCTGATGGAGGAGTGGTAAGCTCTGGGAAGGGTGAGCTCCTTGGGTTGCACAGAGCGCCCCTGACAGTGTAGACAGGGGCTAAAGGGAACAGGCTGGGGGGCTGGGCTAAGCTAACGGGTTTTAGAGACACTGATAGGGCTGCTATAAGAATCTTTTAAAACAGAGGGGCTGGGAAGAATCAGGTAAAGAGGCTTAGGAAGTATTTCTCAAGAACTGAGGTCAGATTGAGGTCTAAAGGTAGTATCATAAATAGATTTGGTGTTCTGCGCCAACTCATTACTTGTTAGTAGCTGCCTGAAACAGTGGGTTGAGAATGGATAGTAGTTTAGTGAGAAACAGTGGTGAGATTGATTAGCCATGTCTGTCCCTGATGCAGGTTCAGTATGTGAACAAGTAGCAGTTTGTGCCTGAGTCATACAGGTAGGGAGGAGCAGGCAGGTGAGGGGTGAGTCCCGATTCTGGGATGCAAAGAGATACTGACAAAAAGCTTGGCCCATGGGGCTCAAGCAAGCAGACTGGGTTTAAGGGCCTGGAGGTCCTGCAGAAAGTGGAGACTGGGGATGTTTGGGACTATAGAGATGTCAGCAGCACAGGGACAGTATCTGCAAATGTGGAGCAGAGATCTGAGAGTCATAGGCCTGTGTAGCAGGATCTGACAGCACAGAGCTCTGTAGGCAGTTGGATAGGCTTTGGGAAATGAAGACAGAGATGAAGCAGAACTCGCTGAGGCATGGAAGATGTGGGACCTGTGTCATCTGTGGCTGTCCTAGCGGTGGGAGTATTTACACCATTCAATAAACACAAGTTGGGCACTTACTGTGTCCAGCCCTGCCATTGGTCAGGTGGCCGTGGAAAGGCCTTTGGGGAGGGGAGTAGAGAGGGAAGGGGTTCAGTAGGGGCTGCTGGCTGTGGGACTACGTTCTGAGATGACCCTAGACCTGGAAAAGAGGTGTTATCAGAAGAGAAATGAGATGGGCCCTTGGTGACAACTTTGTGGCCATCTCTGGGTCCCCTGTATTTCAGGGGGTAAGTGCTGAATGATTGTATGAGCCAAGGAGGGGTTTAGCTCAGAGCAGTGACTGCAGACAAACTGCCTGGAGCCCAGAGAACAGGGACTCAGAGTCCCTTGAGCTGGGCGTGTGATGGGGCTAGTGGCCAGGGCAGAGGTAGAGGATAGTTATAACATTCAGCAAACACCTCCCATATCACTCCCTGGTACCAGGCTCTGCACTGGTGATACTGTCAAAGTCCCTGCCTTCAAGATTTGGAGTTTATTTTCAGGGTCCAGAGGGAGGAGGGTGGGAAAGGTATTCTAGGCAGAGAGAACAGTGTGGGGAAAAGCGTGAAGGTGTGAAAGAGCCTGAGGTTTTCTCAGAATTTGAGGATCTTAGTATGGCTTAGTATAAGATACACCCATGGATGAGGGGAGAGAGGTGAGTGGGACCAGACTGAGGGGCCTCAAATGTCACAATAGGGAAGGTGGAGAGACAGACACAGACTGGTGGGGATGGGGATGTTGACCCAAATAATTGGGCAGCAAGCATGAGTCGGGGATAATCCTGGCAGAGGAGCACTGAGACCAGCCAGAAAATGGGGAGAAGCCGAGGCAGGGAAATCTGGGGGCAGAGAAAAGGTCAAGGTCTTTTAGGCATGCTCCCTGCTCCCCTCACTCCAAAGACCCCCACATGGAGAGGCTAACCCATGTCCCCAGAGCAGGTCCTGCCCCAACCTGGTCCATCCAGCCCCACAAAGCTCCCTGGTGACAAGTCATTCAGTGGCCAGATTGAATGACCTCAGCAGGATTCGGGGCTATCTTTTTAGAAGAGAGCTAGCTCTATGAGTACGATGGGCACTACCCTCCTCACAAACACCTCAGGATTTATGGAGGCACCAGATCAGGGCCTGCAGAGTCAGGATGAGTGGGACAGTGACAGGAGCTGGACAAGACAGGGTAGTACCTGAGGCCAGAGGCGCCCCTGGGGAAGGGGAGAAGAATATCCAACTCTGGCCTGGGCAAGTCTCTAGTCTGAGAGAGGAGACCCAGCCTCAGTCAGAGTAAATCTAAAGTCACAGGAAGGAGACATGGCTCTGGCTTCAATGAACAATAGTCTGAGGAGGAAAACACATTCTGATCTGAGGAGGATTAGAGCCTTCCCCTCAGGGAGCCCCCAGTCTGAAGGGAAGCCAGCCCAAGCCGCCTCTGCAGGAAACAGCCCCCCAGAGGGGAGTGATAGTTAGCTGATGCATCTCTGGTTGGGCTTCCTGGAGAAATGGAAGTAAGGAGAAATGGGGAGAGAAGTCCATTGTCCTCTGCCTCTCCAGTGACCTCTGCCCTCTGCCTCAGGTTCACGGACCAGGATGAGCATGTGATCCAGCACTGCTTCCACTACACTAGCACGGTGCTCACCAGCACTCTGGCCTTCCAGAAAGAGCAAAAGCTCAAGTGTGAGTGCCAGGTGAGTGACCTACTAGGAGCCTGTCTTGGCGATGAAGTCACCCAGCTCTTAGCCCCAGAGCGTCATCCATAAGGGAAAAGCCCATATCTTTCTGGACCCATAGCAGGAAGGTTGCCTAGTGCCCTGGAGGCCTCTTGAAGAAGGAGTTCAAGAGGGTCCTCAGGACAGCGCCACTGGCTGCAGGCACAGTATACGATTGTCCTCTAGTGTTCAACTTGGGTACTACAGCAACATCTGGGCTACTAGAGCCAGAGGTGAATCAGAGACTCCCTATTACTGTGCACATTCACTAGGGCTATACCTCTGCCCCTTCACTTGGTAGCCAAATGATATAATTAGACTATTCCAGTCCACAGCCTGTCCAGAGAGCCCTAAAGGGGGAATGAGAAGACCTTGGGGCTGTTGGAAGCAGGGGGATGGAGGAGGTAACACCTCTGCAATGTGAACCCCTATGATTTTCATTTCCTCCATTCCAGGCCCTTCTCCAAGTGGCGAAGAACCTCTTCACTCACCTGGGTGAGTGAACTGTCCTCCTTCATGCCTGGCTGTGGGGTGGAAGTGGGGACTGGCATATTGGGGAAGAGAGGTTGGGAGGGCTTTGCCTCGGCATTCTAGCCTGGTCTCACCGCTGCCCTCCATGCTTCTCCCTCCCACAGACGATGTCTCTGTCCTGCTCCAAGAGATCATCACAGAGGCCAGAAACCTCAGCAATGCTGAGATGTAAGTCAATCTACCTCAGGGTAAGGTGAGAGAGGACCCAGGACTGGGGCCCTTCCTTCCCTTTCCTTCTTCCCCTTTTTTTCCCCTCCACTGCCTTTTTTCAGGACCCTATCATGTTTTGTGTGATCCTTTATTTCATGCCTGTGACCCTCATTAATAACGTCCAATGACAGCAGGAGCAGGGCTCACTTTGTCGGCCATGGGTCCCCAGCTCCTAACACAGTGCCTGGCACATAGTAGGCACTACAAGAAAAAAAAATCATTGGGATTAACTAATGTCTGGAGTCAGCCAGCCCTCAGGAGGGTTTCTCATAACGGATAACACCTTCCAGGCTTCAGAAATCTAGACTTTGCCTGAAGTCATGAGGAGTGGGGGTGGTCGGAGAGGGCTGGCAGGGACCTGTGGACCGTGGCTGCCTCCCCACAGCTGTTCCGTGTTCCTGCTGGATCAGAATGAGCTGGTGGCCAAGGTGTTCGACGGGGGCGTGGTGGATGATGAGGTGAGGCAGGGCGCGGGGAGCGAGTGTGTGGCCGTAGTCCTGGGGGCTGGGAGTCTGCAAGGCGCCCAAGGAGGAGGAAGATGGACAGCCCATGGTCCGTTCTGTGGCTAGCCACTGACTTCCTCTCTACTCCATCACCGCCCTGGCAGAGCTACGAGATCCGCATCCCCGCTGACCAGGGCATTGCGGGCCACGTGGCAACCACCGGCCAGATCCTGAACATCCCGGACGCGTACGCGCATCCGCTTTTCTACCGCGGCGTGGATGACAGCACCGGCTTCCGCACGCGCAACATCCTCTGCTTCCCCATCAAGAACGAGAACCAGGGTGCGAGCTCCGGGCAGCTCCGGGAAGTGGGGCGGGCTTGGGTGGGGGCGGGGCCTGAGCAGGATGGGGCGGAGCCGAGCGGAGGGTCGGCGACCCTTCCCCACCACCTTAACGTCCGGGAGCAGAATGGACGGGATTATCCCGGCTGGGACGTCCCCTGAGGACACTCTAGGAGGGCGGACGCCGCCGGACACATCCAGCAGCCGGTCCTAGCCCCTCTCCGGCCCCCCAGAGGTCATCGGTGTGGCCGAGCTGGTGAACAAGATTAATGGACCATGGTTCAGCAAGTTCGACGAGGACTTGGCGACAGCCTTCTCCATCTACTGTGGCATCAGCATAGCCCATGTGAGTGGGGACGGGGCAGGGCCGCTGCAGAACCCTCTGTTCTCCTTCACATTGGCTCTGTCCAGACGGGCCGTGAGTCTGAGCTCTGTTGCTGGGTTGCTGTGCAGCCTTCAGTACCTGCTGGTCACCTCTAGCCTCAAATTCCCATCTGAAAATTGGTGATACTATTTCCTATCTTGCCAAGTTAGCCTTCTGGAATCAGGGGAAACCCCACTTGTCATTAATGCCCACCTCTTTATGAAGCAACCTCAATCCGAGCCCCCGGTCAGCTTCTTTTTGGGAAATGTTGGGTCTCATTGTCCCGAGTTGGCAGCTCTGAGCCAGGAATGCAACCACTAGGTTCCTGAGGCTAACCCATTCCTTGCTTTTCTGTCTCTGCTATGGGACTCAGGCCCCATGACTGAAGACTGGGGCAGGTTCAGGAGGCAGTGCAAAGGACCTGGGGAGGAGGAGCAAGAGGCGGGGAGGTCTGGGTGAAAGCCAAAGGAAGGGGGGTCCCTATTCTGGGCTGGAGTCTGAAGGCTTGGACTAGGGCCAGCACGGGACAGGAAGCGGGGGGGGGGGGGTCTCTATGATCCTTTTGTCCCAGTCCTGTGCATTCTGAGATTTCATAGCCACCTAGCTTAAGCCCCATCTTTCCCCCTCTCTCCTAGTCCCTCCTATACAAGAAAGTGAATGAGGCCCAGTATCGCAGCCACCTAGCCAACGAGATGATGATGTACCACATGAAGGTGAGGCCTGCACGGAGCTTCTATCCTCCTTCTCAGGATCCCAGGGTCCCCTGCAGCCCACGTGTTTCTTCCCTGCCTCCCAGTTCCTTGGGGGCCCAGGACCAGCCTGGGTTTCCTGATCACCCTTTCCTGAAGATAAGAAGATAGATTCAGAGCAATGCCTGGCCCTCCTGCTCTCCTGCTCCCCTCTGGGGCAGCCTCTTCCAAGCAGTTTCTGGTTCAGCCCTAAGGCTGGCAGCAGGACCCACCCTGGGGAAGAGTTTGGTTTGGCCAGGTGTTCCCCATGTCTGGGAATAGCTCCCATTTTGAGAACTACTGAAGGCTAGGGAGCTCACTCAGGGCCCTTCCCACAGCTCGCCTGCATTCAGTGGTCACACAGTTCTCTGTAGTCTGCTGATATTCTGTCTCGTTCCCAGACCCTGTTTCAGAAAAGCTGTCCTGGCCTTTAGTTCCGAGAGTGTGGTGGTCATTTTCCTCTTACCTGTGTCCAAACTAAAAGGTCCCAGACTTTGTAGATAGGGTCGAAGCTGTGGTAGGAAGGATTAAGGTTAGACTCTGGAACGTTACCCTCAAAAGAAAGAATCCTCAAGTTAGTGTCTGCGAAAGGCTGGCATTGTTTGGTGGTGTCATGAAGGGATGTTTCTCTGTCTTTGCTGAGGACAGGCTGTTAGAGATGAGGGTTGTCACAGGCGAGGAGGCACAGTAGGTGGGCTGTACCCCAGGGATCTATTGCCAGTGACACTTCATGGATTGGATGGCCTGCCGTGGGTGCATTCTGGGCGAGGGCCCCCCTCCCACTGTGGGCTTTTGAGGGTGAGGACCCTGGATGGGGGTGGAGGCCATCTTCTGATACTCTGGTTGCTCCCCTCTAGGTCTCTGATGATGAATACACTAAACTTCTCCATGACGGGATCCAGCCCGTGGCTGCCATTGACTCCAACTTTGCCAGTTTCACCTACACCCCTCGCTCTCTGCCTGAGGATGACACTTCCATGGTGAGCTGGCCCTCCCCTCTGTGACTGCACAGGTGGAGGGTGTGCAGCCAGAGATTTAAGTTAGATATGGATAGGAATTTCCTGGCAAGACAGGCTGGAGAGCTCCCCTCCGAGATGGAATTGTTGGCATGTGGTCGACCAGCGTGGGCCCCAGGGCCAGCCCAGGGCTCAGTGGCTGGACTGGATGATCGGCAAAGTCATGTGGCCTCAGGCTTGGCACCTCCCTAGCTTTCTAAGGTTTTGTGTGAGCCTGGTTCCAGGAGTTCTTGGGTCCCGTTTCTCAAAGTTCATGGCTCCGAGAATGCTTGTCTCTACCATTTTATGGTTCTCTAGTTCAGATCTAAAGTTCTAAGGTTCCAAAATATTGGAAGCTTCAAGAAAGGGCAAGGCAGGGGACCCATCATGAAATGGACAGTCACTCTGAACCCTCCCTTCTGCTCTCTCCAGGCCATCCTGAGCATGCTGCAGGACATGAATTTCATCAATAACTACAAAATTGACTGCCCAACTCTGGCCCGGTGTGTGCCCCAGCCCTCCCTTCCACGTGCAGGCAGCCCTGGTCTTTGCCTCCCTCTGTCCTCTACTCTCACATCCATTGCCCCAGCATTCTGGGAAGGGGTCTCTGTGGACGACTAGGAGTGGCCCAGTCTGTGGGAGTGGAGAGGATCCGTGAGTGAGAGGCAATTCACAGACTCTGGGACCATGAGTGAAGGGAAGGAATGGGGTAAGGCAGAGCCTGAAGGGCTTCCTGGAAGAGGAGAGCCTGAGGCCCCTCTGCTGCCCTCTCCCCTCCCCCAGGTTCTGTTTGATGGTGAAAAAGGGCTACCGGGATCCCCCCTACCACAACTGGATGCACGCCTTTTCTGTCTCCCACTTCTGCTACCTGCTCTACAAGAATCTGGAGCTTACCAACTACCTCGAGTGAGTGTCTGCACTGACCCCTAAGTGTGGCAGCTGTTAGCGTCCGCTACTTTAGGACAGGAGAGGCACCTAAGTATGGCAAGCACTTTACATGCACCACCTCCCACGATCTTCTTAACAGTTCCGGGAGGAAGGCTGCATAGCCCTATTCTCCAGGTGGGACTTGCCCACAGTCACAGACTCATGGAGCAGTGAGCCTGTCAAACTCCAAATCAGGGCTGCTTTCCAGGAAGGAGACCCAGGTGTCCCAAACTCCTGTCTGGTGGTTCCTGGACATCTCACGCAGCCGTTCTTCCTCTGGATGTGTGGGAAAGGCCTGACCTCCCTCTCCCCTCTGCCTCTCAACCAGGGACATCGAGATCTTTGCCTTGTTTATTTCCTGCATGTGTCATGACCTGGACCACAGAGGCACAAACAATTCCTTCCAGGTGGCCTCGGTGAGATTCTGCCCTCCTCACAGTGGGCACCCTCCTCAGGGCCTCTGCGAGTCTCACCCCTCCGGCCTGAGGAGAGGTGGGAGCCAGTGGGACCAGGAGCCAGTTTAGAGATGGGAGGAGGCTCTCCAAGGCTTTGCATGGGCTCTGAGTTGGGAGGGTGGGGAGGGGCAGGGAGGACAGGGCAATGCCTCGCCTAATATGGCTGGCACTTGCATCTGGTTGTGAGGTGTGATGGAGATTTCCCGGGCTTTTCCAGAAATCTGTATTGGCTGCACTCTACAGCTCCGAGGGCTCTGTCATGGAGGTACCACCATTCTGCCCAATATCCCTGTGCCCGTTATCCTCTTAAGACCGATGACTTACGTAGTTCCACCGTGACCCAACTCCTCCCATCCCCAAGGTGTGCTCTCTCTGTGAGAGCTGTAGCCACCCCCAGGGCATGTTGGGCTCATTTTGCTGGCTGGGCTTGGAGGGGTGCAGGGGTAGATGGGGATGTGGGTCAGCCTGCAGGTCCTGCCCGAGCCCAGGTTTGACCAGGGAGAACTTATATTTAGCATGTTTCCACCCCCACTCCACCAGTCCTGGGATGGCTCCACCCCCATCACACCCAGTGCTGCCTTAGGTTGTTTGGGTTGCGTCTGCCCACCCCCAGATGGGAGCTCCTTGGGGCAGGGACAAAATCTGAGACCTCTCTGAATTCCGTGCACTTGGCATAGGGTCTGGCACAGAATAGGAACCAAACCTGGAGCAAGGTCACCTTGCCCTTCGCTGACCCCCCACAACACCCCTCTGGAGACTCTCCTGCTTGCATGCTCCAGTAGATGAGGGGCTCACTCCCTCCCACAAGGCCTTGTGGCAGCCTTGCTTCTGCCCTCTGTGCTCTGGGCTCAGCCTGCTCCTTCTCTGAATGACAGCCCTTCAGCATCTGGAGACAGGGGCCTTGCCCTCACCTCATCACTGCCTTTCTTTGTCAGCAAACAAATGTTTGCTGCATGAATAAGTGTCTAAGACTCCAGGGGATCACTTCAGAATCCTTCCAGTTTGAGAATTCCTCAGAGCTCACCTTGTCATGTCCCTCCATGTGACAGCTGAGGGATCTGAAGCTCAGAGCCTGCGAGGACTTGCCTAGCGTCACACAGAGGGCCGAAACAGAACCCAGAAAGGAAACTAGGACCCTAACTCCCCGTTTCTGCCTGCTCTGCTCACCTTGGGGGCTGGGGCTGCACCGGGCCTGCACAGGGGTCAGTGGTGAGCAGAGCCCCCGGCCCCAGCTGGGCCCTCATCGTTCCTCTCCTCACAGAGGCACCACTTCGCTCAGGCCATTGCCATCCTCAACACCCATGGCTGCAACATCTTCGACCACTTCTCCCGGAAGGTGATGGGGCTGGGGTTGGGGGTGAGGGACTGGGAGCTCAGAGCTAGCCTGAGGCAGGAGAAGAAGCCGAGTGAGTGGATGGGTGGGGGTGACTGGCAGGAGGCCCTGATGCCTCCCCACTCCCCTGCCCACCCTGGCCCAGGACTATCAGCGTATGCTGGACCTGATGCGGGACATCATCTTGGCCACTGACCTGGCCCACCACCTCCGCATCTTCAAGGACCTCCAGAAGATGGCCGAAGGTACCTGCCTTGGGTTGGGGAAGGACCACCAAGCAGGGGAGGTGCCTGGAGGGCACCCCCTGGGGTTCAGACCCACTCCCTCTGGCATCAACCCACCAGATCCAGGTAGATACAGCACCAGCCCTTTGGCTCCCATCCAGGGTGCTGAATTTCATGGACCACATAGGCGGGCCCTGGGGACCTTGCCTCAGAGAGAGTGTGTGGGGGCTCCTTTCCTTGACTGCACCCTCTCTCTAACAGTGGGTTATGACCGAACGAACAAGCAACACCATAGCCTCCTCCTCTGCCTCCTTATGACCTCCTGTGACCTCTCTGACCAGACCAAGGGCTGGAAGACTACAAGGAAGATCGCAGTAAGTGCTGCCCCTCCCTGGGAGGGTGCAGGCTGCACAACCCTGCCAAGTTCTGTGTGTCTCCTGCATCCTGCTCTCCGTCTCTGTGCTGAGCTCAGCCTGGCTACATTTTGGGGAGACAGAAACCTAGACCACCTCAGGGTAATAGATGGGGAGACTCAGAAAGGGGCATGCATTCACCAGGTCACAGAGCAAGTCAGTGGCTGGCAGGAGGTGGGTGAGAACCCAGCCACTCCTCCTGATCTGGGCCATCCCTCTGCCAAACTGGGGATGGTGAGGACAGACCCAGAAGTGGGGCTGGGGGATGCCTCAGTTTGCCACCTTGGGAATGGCCTGTAGAGGAGCTCAGATGGATGGATCCCACACATGAGGTGTAACAAGAGTGTTGGCCTTTTCAGGAGCTGATCTACAAAGAGTTCTTCTCCCAGGGAGACTTGGTAAGTAGGGAGTGACTGCTGGTGTCAGGATGTGGGGAGAGGGCTCCCAGCCCAGGGCTGGGAGGGCTGGGTTAGCTTCATCCTTGTGTCTGATGGAGGGAGGAGGGGGCTAGGTCTGACGACTCGCTGCCCGCAGGAGAAGGCCATGGGCAACAGACCGATGGAGATGATGGACCGGGAGAAGGCCTACATCCCTGAGCTGCAGATCAGCTTTATGGAGCATATCGCAATGCCCATCTACAAGTGAGAGAGTGCTGGGGGCCTGCTGGGTGGAGGGGGTGCTGTGGCAGCCACAGCAGATCAGTTGCTGTCTCCTGCGGGCCCATAAATGGCCCTATGCTTCATGTTCTCCTTGAGCATCCAGTCCTATGCCTCACACTCTCATGGAAGTTCTAACTGTGGTAGAGTCCTAATCCTTCTTGCTACTCACGGTCTGATTTGTAACCCTGTGCATGCCCCTAGGCTGCTGCAGGACCTGTTCCCCAAGGCGGCAGAGTTGTATGAACGTGTGGCCTCTAACCGTGAGCACTGGACCAAGGTGTCCCACAAATTCACCATCCGCGGCCTCCCGAGCAACAACTCACTGGACTTCCTGGATGAGGAGTATGAGGTGCCTGATCTGGATGGCACTGGGGCCCCTGTCAATGGCTGTTGCAGCCTTGATGCTGAGTGAGCCCCCCTCCCCAGGACCCTGCCCTGCCCAGGCCTCCTCTGACAGCCCCCCACTGGCCTGGCCAAGTGCCCTGGGACCAAAGCCATGGGTCCTAGGTTCTAGACCAGGACAGACCGTGTGACCCTGGGCAAGTACCAGCCTTTCCAGGCCTCAGCTTTCTTGTCTGTAAAATGGAAGCAAGACTTCCAGCCTCACTGAGATTTTGTCATTTGTCCTCCGGGAGCACAGAGGTGACTGATGAGCAGTGAGCCCTGCTCTGCGCCTCTGAGCACGTCTTGGCAGATCTTCCCCAGCCTCCCTTCTCTGAGGCAGCCTAGATGGCTGCCCCATCAGATCTATGCCCTCTTCCCTCTCCAGGGTCCTCATGCAGGGAGAAGGTGGGACATGTGAATGGGCAGAGAATGGGTCTTAGAAACAGTTATTAGCTCTGCTGGACAACTAGAAGTAGCTACAGGGCCACCAAAGGTGCCCCTTGGGGTTGCCACTCTATTTATGGTGGGCATGGAGACCTGGGAGCTGCAGGGGCCCCACAAGAAAGCTGCCAGAGGGGCACCTCAGTGCTCTGCACAGAGGGGGCTCAGGGAGAAAGCAGGATAGGAATGGTGGGCAGGAAGGATCCCAGGGCTGGAAGACAGGCTCCAGTTGAGTCAACAATTCTTCCTCCTGGCCGTGTGACCCTGGGTAAGTGACTTCCCCTATCTAGGTAAGACAGGAGAGTGGGACCATCTGTTTTCTAGCACCCCTTTTAGATCAGAGTCCCCATGGCTCTGTGGAGTCCCAGGAGAAGCTGTGGAATGTCCCTGCCACCCTAGGGCAAAGAGCCAGCCCTGAGTACTTCAGTGGCCCCCTGAGTGTCCCCCCCCCCAACTTAGCCCAAGCCCCTTCTCTATTCCTGCAGCCAGAGAGGGCTGCCTCAGCCCTGACAGGGCTGACTGGTAGGGCTCCTATCTTCTTCAAGGCCATATCTACCCATGCCCTGGGGCTTGGGAAACCCCCATAGGGCCGAGCCTCTTGGGTCAGCCCGGCTGCTGGCATCTCCCTTCTCTGTTTTGTTCTGTATGTGTTGTGGGGTGGGGGGAGGGGGGCCACCTGCCTTACCTATTCTGAGTTGCCTTTAGAGAGATGCGTTTTTCTAGGATTCTGTGCAACTGTTGTATATGGTCCTGTGGGCTGACCGCTTTGTACATGAGAATAAATCTATTTCTTTCTACCAATCCTCCTCCTCAGGGCTATTTCGGGATATTGTGCTTGGGGATGGGGGAAACAGAACTGGGGTACGCAAATGCCCTTTAGAACTCCCACCCCTTGTGCCTAGCCCCTCTCATAGGAGAGTCACAGACCTCCTGTGCCAGACTGTAGGGGCTTAGAGGTAGGTGGCAGATGAGGAGGTCCGGGCACAGAGCAGTGAGCGGACATGTTGGCTGGCTGATTGTAGTAGTCTGTGATTGTGGACTGGAAAGAAAAGAATTGAGGGGCTGAAGCAATCAAGGAGGCTGCCTGGAGAAGGCGGCCTAGAGCTCCTCTTAAACCCTCTGTCTGCTGGCCTGCTGGTCACGAGTGCCAATACAGCTAGGGCCTGGGTCTCTGAACCCCCTCCTGTCTTCCCTATTTTGTGTCCCCATGAATCCCTGAATCTGACTCTACACCAGATGCAGCCCTGGGTTGTGTCTATGGAGGTAGTTCCCTCCTCTTCTGGCTGTAAGAGTGTTTGCCTCTGCACAGACAGAGAGGGGCAGGCCCCAGACCGGACCATAAGGAGGGTCTGACTGGCAAAAATCTCTAGACCCCATGCCCTCTGGCACCTACATCCCCCTCCCCATTTCCTCTCCCTGCTCATCTCTTCCAGATCGGTAACGGTTGGTATGTTAAGGGCTGAACACTTACTAGGAGAAGGAGGAAAGAAGGACTGGGAGACGATGATTAGGGCAACCGTGTGACACCTGTGATGCCCCAGGTGCCAGCCTTTGGGACCACAGAGCCTGTTTCTCCTGCACCATAGCTTGTCACTATTTGGTATTGCTCTTCTGGGCTATGATCTCCAGGCAGCTAGCCTTCCCTTAGGAACTTGGGGTCCAGTCCCCTCCCCTGCCAGCCTCTGATCTGGGCTCCCCCAGTCTGTCTCTGTCTTCTCATGGTGCAGGACCCAGGCTGACCAGTGGGCCCTCAGTTCCTGAGAGGGTCCAAGGCTGACAGGGGATGGAATGGGGACGGCTATCGTAATGGTGTGTAGCTAACACCAGCATCGGTGTGGGTTGACATGGATGCTCCTCTGCCTGTGAACTGCCCCACCCAACTGCGAATGTGTGTACATGTCCCTCTTCTACCAGCCCTTGAACAAAGGAGAAGAACAACCCTTGTGCACACCTCAGGGACCTCACTCCCCTTCCCTGCATCTGTTGTCTGTCCCCATCACAACTCGCCCTTGAGGACATTTAATCCCACTTGAGGCCCATGTATGACACATCCTTCCTCGCCACCCAGCTGAATGATCGGCTCACAAGTATTTTCTCATGCATACAAGACCCCATGCCAAGGCCCAGAGCTAATTGTCCTTGTCCCTGGTCTGGAGGGTCTACCAGCCTGGTCAGGGAGATATGGTCACAGGACATGACACCCCCCACAGGATGCTTGGCCATGGAGCTCCAGGCAGAATTATAACCCTGAGAAGAAATGCAGTGAGATCTGGAAGATGAACAGGTATTGTTTTCCTGTGGGCAAAAGGGGCCAGGCACTCCTAGTAGAAGGAACTGCACAGACAAAGGCACAGAAAGGGGGAGTGGCCAGCACCCAGGGAATGAAGAGACAGAAGGAAGATAGAGCCAGACCAAGGAGAGCCTCGAATGCCAGGCTGTGAAGTTTGGCTTTACTTTGTGGGCAGTGGGGGGCCAGCGAAAGCTTTCAGTAGAGGAGTGACTTGGATGTGCATTTTAGAAAGATCCGTCCGGAGAGCAGAGAAAGGCTGGCAGGGTTGAGGTGGGCCAGGGATCATTCTAGAGCTGATGTTCTGTGCCGTGGGCTGGCTGAGGGAGGGAGGAATTCAAGATTTGAGGGAGGTGAGGGCAGAGGGAGGACTGGTAGGTGGCCTAGAATGTGGGTCCCCGCGGTCCCATGAACAGCCTTGGATGTCTGCTCTTTGCCGCTCTCACCTGCAACCAGGTGTGGGGAGGAGGCTCTGGCAGGAGGTTGAGCTCCCTGGGAAGAAGGAAGGAATAGCAGTTTGGGGCTGCCAGGGGAGGGGAAGGTTGGAGGAAGGGCAGGAGGATGAATGGGAAGACAGGTAGGAGGAGGGGGTCTGGGAACACTAGGCTTGGCCCCATGGTTTCTTGTAGCTGCCCCGCCCTCCCCACTTAATAAAAAATTTTATTTTACATAAAACCTTGTAATAATTCTGTGGAGTAGATACCATTATCTCATTCTGTAGCCAAGTAGTTTAAGATTCACAGAAGTAATCTGCAAGCTTGAGATGTGAGCCCCTCCCACCTGACTCCCCTCCAATGGCTCTTTCTCTGGGAGAGAGGAAGGAGATTCAGGAGGTCAGGGTCTTTGTCTCTGCAGGAGTGTGATGAAGGAGTAGGGGTGGTGAGCAAGTGGTTTGGAGCCCCAAAGAAGGATCTGAGATCAGTTCTATGTAGTACGTTGTGGAAGTGGGAGGGGCAAGAGAAAAGAGGTGAAGGGGTTGGTAGCCTGTAGTGCAGCTCGTGGTCACCAGATGGGGCTCGATCCCTGCTCTCCTCACCTACCCAGAGGTCTAAGAAAGGTGGGGGGGGTGGGAAGGGGGCTCAATTCATTCCCATCCACTCATATACGCCCCTTTCATACAGAGACACGTTATCACACACACACACACACACACACAGAGCCCCACTCTCATTCTCCTACAGGCAGACACACACTTCAGGGTGACTACACAGGCTCTACAGGGAGAATGGGAAATGTTTCTTAGGGGCCTCCAGACCCCTTTAGCTGTTCCCTGAACAGGACTGAGTTCCGTCAGTCTTACCTGAGTGAGATCCCATGTCTCCTGAGTTATCTCCCTGTTGAGTGGCCCCTCTTTGCGGAGAGATCCCTGGAAAGGTAGTACCAGCTTTGTGATCAGGCATAGGTGGGACCCCTCCTCTGGGTATAAAATAACTAGGAGACAACACTGCCAGGCTTGGTGCTGATGGAGCTGGAAAGCCAGAGCAGAAACTAGCGGGAATGTGCAGGGGACTCAGGGGGAAGCTAGGCTCCAGGGACTTGACACACAGATGAGGGGACTGGGACAGGAGGTGAGGTTACTGCAAATAGGCCAGGAAAGCAGGCTGGGTGGTGGGGAGGTGCAGAGGCTGTGCCCAAGGCCTCGGCCCTCCCTCACTGCTCAGCTTCTCAGAGCCCAGTCCACTTGAGACTGTGGGGCCTGGACGTGGAAGCACAAGCAAGCAAGGATGCCATGAAGTGGCCAACAGCATAGGGGCATGCATGCTACAGGAGGACTGCAGGGAGATGCTATTTTTTTAGCCTTGGCTGCGTTCTCCTGGAAGAAGCCCTGAGCAGGGAGTTAAAGGAGTTAGAGGCCTGCTCTGAGCAGAAGCTGGGCCCCAGGGGAGCAGGCCAAGCCATGTGTCCAAGGCTAGACTCTGGACAGTGCCCGGAAGAGAAAGGAGAGTGGGCTGACAGGAGAATGAGAGGAGGGAGGGGGAGGAGGCAGCATGGCTGATTTGGGGAGGATCGAGAATGTCAGGGGAAGCCTCCTATCTGACAGAAATTCACATTGCTATGTTCTCTCTCCTGAAACACAAAGCAAGAGTTGTCACTATGCACCATATCCCTCCTGGACTTCCTCTTCTCTCGTGGCAGGATGAGCACTTGGATTCTTCCTCTCTGGTCTCAGTTTTCCTGTCTACAAACTGGGATGATGGGGCCCCTCTAGAGGCCTTCAGGATGCAGGCCTCTGGGAGGGAAGCCAGCTCTACTTCCAAAGAGTTGTGTGTGAAATCTGCATATAGATGCTGTGGCCAGACTGTTCTCTGAGGGCTTGCAAGGATGGGTCCATGCCAGAAGCAGAGTACACCATTAAGTTTGAGATTGGTGGGACACTTGTGAGAATGGGAGGGGCTGCCATTCCTGCCAAGATGGCAGCCACTCTCCGTTCCTAAGTCATCACTGGAGAAACCACAGAACTGAGCAAAGAGCATGGGAATTCTGGGAACTAACAAAATAGGCTCGGATGCAGTGGGGTGGATAAGTTGGGGAGAGATAGAAGTGAGAAGCTGGATGGGAGGAAAGCACTTGCCTCACCCCATTTGCCTGGATGGTCAACCATTGCCTGTGCCCTCACCTCTGCACAAACCCGTGGTGCTTCCTTATCCCCTTCTGGCAGTGGCGGGAGGAAAAGAACAGTCTCTTCATTAGGAGGCTCTCTCAAGGATGGGTGAGAATTATTGTCCCCTTTAGAGATGAGGGAAACTGAGGCTCAGAAGCTCAGCTGGCAGCAACTTCCCTCAGATCAAAAGTTGCTCATGGAGCATCCCCAGGGTCAGATGAGCAAACAGACCCAGAAAGGGCAGGGACCTCTAAGATCATATGATACAGAGGCTGGACAGGGATGAGTACCAGCTCCCATTTCCTGGCCTGAGGTTCTCTCTCCATCCCAGGGAGGGTAGGATTTGCTTCCCTGAGTCACCAACCTTAGGCTTCACATAGGCCCCACCCTGCAGGTGTGGTCTTGGTGACCTGTGTGTGTGTTTCTCCCACATCTGCCCTGCAACTGCCTGGTGCTGGGGTCAGGGAGAAGAGAGGCAGATTGGAGCAAATGGTGCTCTTTTCTCTCCACATCTGCTTCTGAACATCCATCTGCATCTCAGCTTAGACTCTTCAGGCTGTGTGTGCCCTTTAGGCACATGTGGTTTCTTTCCCCCTTTAGACTGGGAGTCCCTCAAGGGCAGGAAAAGATCTGCCTGACTCTGGTTTGGTGCACAGTAGGTGCTCAAAGCAGGCATGTTGATTGATGGAAAGTGACGGAATCAGGATTCAGTTGTGCATTATCACAACTCAACTGAACACTTGAGGGACACCCTCTGAAAATCTCCAGAATTCTCTCCCTATGCAGCTCTTTCATCTCTGGCACTCTGCCTTGTAACTCTAGCCAACTGGGCTTTTCACATTCACAACTCCATCCACTCAATTCAGGGAGACCTCCAGACTTCACCGGGGGTCCCCCTCCCTGCACTGTAGC